TAATATTGGGTGTCTCTACTTTCCATATATACTATTCAAAAAAAGTAGGGGATATTTGATTTTGGGGGCATAATACTAAAATATGCAAATAACTACGAAAAAAGTCACTATAGAACCTAACAGAAGAAACATTTCCAGTTACATGTGACGCCCAAACGCACCAATAGCTACGGCATGGAATGCAGGTGATGCTTGGGGTCATCATGGGGGTCCAACCCAAGATTTGCACGACTCTGACTTTGAATGTTACAGTCATTGTGGCATTGAATTCCAGGGTGGAAACATCAGTTTAATTGTTTTAGTGACCAGAAAACAAATTTTGATATGCGTCGGCTTACCCAAAATGAAAGGTTACGTGCCCTTGGCATGCTACAGATCGGCACAACACAGGCGGTTGTGGCGCGGACGATGAATGTTTCTCAGTCTGTCATAAGCAGGCTATGGTCCAGATACCGTGATACACAATCTGTACAGGACAGACCACGCTCAGGTCGACCAAGGGCGACAACTCAAGCCCAGGATCGATTTATCCGTACCTTGGCCTTGAGAAATCGTGTCATCACAGCAAATCAGATCAGCGCTCGTCTTCAAACAGACACTGGTGTGAGAGTGAGTGGCCAGACGATTCGGAATCGACTGCATAGGGGTCACCTTCGCGCCCGACGTCCTCGCGTGATCCCTTGTTTGAGAGATCATCACATTCAGGCAAGACGTCGTTGGTGTAGGGATCGTCAACACTGGGATAATCGACGCTGGAGCAATGTGATGTATTCAGATGAGTCAAGGTTCACTGTTGATTTTTTGGACAGACGTAGGAGGGTGTGGCGTCGTCGAAACGAGCGCTTCCAAGACGTTAACGTCATCAGACATGATCGATTTGGGGGTGGTTCTGTTATGGTGTGGGGAGGCATCACTGTTGCTGGAAGAACGGCTTTACATGTTGTTGCAGGGCGTGTTACAGGCCAGTACTACCGGGACAACATCTTGGCAGTCCATGTTGTGCCGTTCGCACGACGTCATGGCCGCCGTTTCATCTTCCAGGATGACAACGCAAGATGTCACAGGGCCAGGATCGTTACAGGTTACCTCCAACAACAGAACATCACCACATTACCTTGGCCAGCACTGAGTCCCGACCTCTCCCCCATCGAGTATGTCTGGAACATGCTTGGACAGAGGTTACGTCAACGTCAACAACGTCCTGCCAATGTCCAACAGGAATGGGACAATCTGGACCAAAATGACCTTAGACGTCTCATTAGGAGTATGCCACGTCGGATCAATGCTTGTTTGGCAAACAGAGGAGGATTTACCCGTTACTGACTTGGTTGTGATGCTGTGGTAACTTTGCTGTTTGACCCCGGGTATCATTTTACCCTTATAATGGTCAGTTTGTGCCTTACTTAGTCTAACGATCATTTGGAATAAATTGATGAATGTGAACTTCATTTCATTTTGTCATTTGTTTCTTCATCAGTTTCATTAGGTGACTTTAATAACACTTAAAAATCAAATATCCCCTACTTTTTTTGAATAGTATACATACATATTAAATTTGCCACACTTTTATTGGAAATAACTACTCAAGAGATATTTTCGTTGGAATATATCTTTAATCAGTTCTGTAAAAGTTGTATTTAGTCAAATATCAGAAATAATCTGTAGAATGATATTGTGAATAAATTAAACACTAATATTACATGTTTGTGAATGAGTATTTGAAAGGAATTTCAGACCATGGGGAAATGTTTAAAAATTGTGGAGTGACTTTGTTGTGGGAGTAGTATTTACCCCTAAAATTATGGTATTTGTGTTAAAATGAGTGTTGAAATATAATACATGTTTCTGCCACAAGTAGTGTGTACAGGTCATTTGATGCAAATTTTTACCATTGCATGAAATCTAAAGTTTACAGATAGTTGTGAAAAGTTATGAGTGTTAGATGTAGCACAGATTGTTTGCATCAGTACTGGACAAACAAGCTTGATTATCCATTTTATCTTAAATTCCATTTAAATCTCTGCCATCCGATGTCTAGAGAGTTTTATTATTGGCTTGTCATGTTAATAAATTATGTCTAAATAATAGTTTATATAATATTTGAAGTGAAAAAATACAGATCTCTTATGTAATTCATCTTTATTTAATATGCTCAAAGTTTTCACTTTTACATCTGTCGTGTTAAAGATTATACATTGTGCATGTATATGATGACACATTTATTTGATGGTTTCATGGCCTAAAGTATTAAATTGTGATTTGGGTGAGTTATTATGTTAGTTGTGGTTTATGATAGGGGAACCTTAAAAAAGTTTGAATAGAGAAATTCTTTTTAACAACTACATAAAATAAACATTTAATTTGAAAAGAAATTTAACTAAAATATATTCAACTTAATTTATCTTATATGCATTTTATTATATTTTGATTTGAAATTATAATTGTATTTGTACTGGCATGATATTACATAATTAACATCGAATTAAATCAACTCTACGTTCCTTAATGAAGCAGGGCTGACCGAACAGTTTGGCATTGTTGAACTCGGAAATTGAACTTTTCTGATATCAGTGATTCCTTCAGTGCAGTAAAGTCATTGCCTTTCGAAGAAAGCAGGGGACTATTAAAATGGGTTCGTCCATCTGTCTGTCTGTCTGTCTGTCCGTCTGTTTGTCTGTCACACTTTTTGGGACACAATAACTCTCCTCCTAATTGAGCCAGAATGTTCAAACTTGGTCAATGCCGTGATGGAGTTCGAAGATGAGCATTTTTTGCTTAGGGTAAGCAGAGATAGGCAATTTGATTGGTTGATGCTTTGGGACACGATAACTCTCCTTCTATTTGAAGTAAAATGTTCAAACTTGGTGTAGGTGTTTATTAGGTCAATGTCTTTATGGTGTTCGAAGATGAGCTTTTTCTGCTTAGGGTAAGCTGAGATAAGCAATTTGATTGGTTGATGAATGATTGGGACAGGATAACTTTAGTCCTAATTAAATGAGAGTGATGAAATTTCGTGTATAGTTTTATTACATCAATACCTTGACTAAGTTTGATAATGAGCATTTTCTGCTCAGGGTAAGCAGAGCGATAAGAAATTTGATTGGTCGAGACTTTGGAATACAATAACTCTCATTCTAATTGAGCTAGAATGTTCACTCTTGGCGTAGGTGTTTATTAGGTGAATGCCTTGATGGAGTTCGAAGATGAGAATGTTCTGCTCAGGGTAAGCAGAGATAAGTTCTAATTTAGTGAGAGTGAGGAAACTTGGTGTATAGTTTTATCACATCAATACCTTGACTAAGTTCGATAATGAGCACTTTCTGCTCAGGGTAAGCAGAGCGATAAACAATTTGATTGGCCGAGACTTTGGAACACAGTAACCGCCCTTGTAATTGAGGTAGAATGTTTAAACTTGGTGTAGGCGTTCATTAGGTGAATGCCTAGATCTAGTTCGATGATAAACATTGTCTGAAGCAGAGATAAGCAATCTGATTGGTTGATGCTTTTGGGCAAGATAACTTTGGTTATAATTAAGTGAGAGTGATGAAACTCCAAGTATAGATTCATTATATCATTACTTTGACTAAGTTTGATGATGAGAATTTTCTGCTTAGGCTAAGAGATATAAGCAATTTGATTGGTCAAGACTTTGGAACTCTGCTTTTAATTGAGGTAGAATGTTTAAACTTGATGTAGATGTTCATTAGGTGAATGTCTTGACTGAGTTCAATGATTAACATTTCAAGCTAATTAAAGCTAAGCAGAGCTAAGCAATTTCATTGGTCAATGCTTTAGGACCAGATAACTTTGATTCTATCTGATAGTGATGAAATTTAGTGTATAGTTGATAATCAGTTTGATTGCTTGATACTTTTGAAAAAAATAAATGTGCGATAAATTAAAATGTGTCATCTATTTATTTTGGGATTTTGGCTGGGGACATGCGCCTCACTGTTGGCTTGTCTATATAATAAGTAGTTTCAATAAAAAAATAAACCAATTTTGGGGTGAGCAATGCCCCGATTTCATTAAGTGACCCCAGATCCTCCATGTGCCTTAATTCAGCACTGGATAAAGATACATTATGGGAGATTAAAGAGCTGGCAGTTCTCACTATAATAGTTAAAATCTAGATAATGTAAAGGGAATTTGCTGAAAATTTCAGTCAAATTGATCCACTCTGAACCGACAATTTAGTGATTGAATTTTAGGCCTAGCCTCGATCATCATTACTAAAATCGGTATGATAAAAAACATAGTCTCGATTATCCTTTTTTTTTTATTTAATCATCAATGAGCGTTGAACAACAGATCGGATTCTAATCCAGTAAATATCGTAGGCTAGCGATGACATCGGAGTTGGTTATGGTTGGGATAAGTTAATTAATGTCTAATTAATAATTTAGATAAGATTTCAGGCCTAAAGAAAGACCTGCAATAGGCAGATGTAACTCTTTCATAATGTATTTTTAAGTGTTAACTTGAAAGAAGTAGCTAAGTATCTAATTCAATATCATCCAAAGTCTTCGACTTTGAAAACACAAATTATTTGTCAGTTTAAATTAATATTGATGTTGTGATCTTACCGGGAAAAGATGGGCTTCTGATATCCAATATCTAAGACAAAATAAACCTTTTACCATTTCAGTCCCATTTGTAACAAGGAACTCGAAGAACGAGGCTCGACATGTTCCACAATTCATGTCAAACGGTAACACCATTCTTATCTGGAGAGCATGCGCAATAATTTCTATGTAGACTGGAATAACCAGATGCTAGAGATTGCCATTAATTGAGATTTCTGGCATATTTCGCGAAACATAACTGATTTGAAATTAGAGTATTAAAGGAAACGATGGAATATAAATCAGTTTATATACATTCATATTACATTATTATATGTGTTGCGACCCATTTGTGTCTATTTCTAGGTCTCAAATTTTAGCGATTTAGCTCCTTTAAACATAATTTACTTAATTTTAATGTCTTTTTCTTTTCAGGTGAACTCGAAATGACTGAAGAATCTGCTAATTCAATTGTTAACCGGAATTTGTTTGTGCTTGACAGACAGAATACAGTATTGTTTTATATTCTTGGAGAAAAACACAGTTATATTCAAATTTAGATTTATACATCCAAATATTATTGTTAGACACTGCTGAAAGAAAAATGGGTAAGGGAAAACATGAAACCGAGGAATCCCTGAAAAGTGCTACACCTGAAGATGAGGTGTCTAATGCTGCAACTAATGTTCCTCGTCCCCCAGATGGAGGATGGGGATGGGTTGTGGTGTTCTCATCATTCATTGTTCATATCATAGCTGATGGGATTGTGTATTCCTTTGGAGTGTTCTTCATTGAGTTTTTGGATTATTTTAAAGGTGGTAAAGGAGAGACATCATGGGTTGGTTCATTAGTTCCTGCTGTCACTTACAGTGTTGGTAAGTTATAATTTCTTTGTATAATTTGTAAAGCATATGGAGTAAACCTCTACTTCACACACACTGTTTTGTATTTGCTATGTATTTATATGCATTTTAATTCTTTCTTTTTTTAAATTAACATGCATAATTATTAAATGGGTATTGAATGTACATGTAGGCCTAACATTTCTCTTCAATAAATGTACCGGTATGTATGTTAATAGACAAATGTGAAGCGGAAAATCTTTTGTTATCCCTAACTGAAGCAGAGGACACAGACCACAGATTTAATGTTGTCTTCTGTTTTCCATCATAATGGCATTGAATTTACATCTTAGAGATGGGTTAATGCTATAAATATTAATGAGAAGCCAGTGCTAGTAAATTATATTTGAATAATCAAACAATCATGCTACATGTAATGATTAATATTAATTGATTATTCATGACTTACATTGTATTTGTGACAATATAAGTATAGAATGGGTAATTATTTAAAGTTGATGAGTTGACGATATATCTATGTATATTTCCACATCTGTTATCATCTCTATTTTCTTTATAATATAATGATATCATGAATAGATTGTGTTAAATTACATATCTCAGATTACCTGTATATAAACTGAAATAGACATTATATCAGGTTACTTGTGATTTACTTAAAGAGGCATTACATGTATGCACTCTCAAGAAATTAAATGTAATTAATTGTGATAATAGCATATTCTAAATACTGCTAGAACTTGCTCAATTATGAGGAATACAAGTCTGGAACTGGTCATAAGTTCCCAAATTTCATGATGTGGAAATGCCTGGGTAATCATTTCTATAAACTTGTGGCAGTTACATGTACAAACAGTGATCAATATTTTGGTCTTTGATTTTGTATACTTCTGCCTTGTCTTCATTAGCACAGATGGAAGAGAAAAGTAGGAGGTTATACACCATTTCATTTTAGCTGTATGCAGTACATGTACATGTATACTTCCACTTGTATTTACAATGACTTTACAACCTCTTTAAAGCATGTCGTTATTATAAAAAAGGTTATCAAAGTTAATTATATGTAGGTTATCTATAGGGCTTAAATAAAGATTATTAAATCAAAGTTAATAGATACCGGTAATAATTTTATCAATGGTCATTGATTGTAGTAAAGTTAAATTCAGTTTGATAGGTCTTTAATTAAGCCCTTTAGATAATTAACTTCAATGTAATATCAAATCATTATGTTAGCTCCGAGTTAATCAATGAGATCTGGTGACCTGTCTGCTCTTACAGAAGTTTTCAGTGCAGAAATACGATAAGATAAAAGTTATTGCCTAAAAATGCCTAGAGTGAATGACATACAATTACATAAATCATAAACATGTATGTAGTAGTTATTAGCACACTTTCCGAGGTGTATCGGTGAAAATATTTTGAGTTGTAATTAAATAAACCAACTTAAATATATAAAAAAAGAACTTAAAACTAGTCCTGTCAATACATGATGATGAAACTCACTGATATGTTTTATGTAATAAATATCTTATCTTATTTCGGGTGTTTTATGTAATAAATATCTTATCTTATTTGAGTAAGCTTACTTCAAACATATATACATATAAGTATAAATCAAGATAACCCATATCATAATCCAAAAATATACTAATTTAAATTAGTACAGTCACATTAATTATACCAACCAAAGTTTCGTAATGTTGTATTATATAGGTGAAATTTTAAAAAAAAGGCTTTCGCTCTTATGGAAATCAGTCCTAAATGAATTTTCTGATTATAAATGGATTTTATGTCATGATTTGTTTCATGACAATTGTGTTTTCCTGTGTCTAAACAGTAAGCCAAACATGAAAATGAATTTAGTAAACAAACGACATCCTCTTGATATTTTGAAATTAACATCATGTTATAGACAGGGCTTGTCCAATGAATGACTGAAATTCATCAGAAGATCAATAGAATTCAACTCTTTTATTTTAACCAAAATCAAAGAGGTTTAGGGGAACTGCACTACACACCAAGAAAAACACAAGACAAATCTATGGGTAGGACACAATATACACCACAAACAACAAACACACATATCAGATCAAGTGAATGGACTGCGTTATATACATGTACATGTAGTCCCGGACCTGTTTTTAAGGAAATCGTCGAGCTATTTAAAATACATTTTAATTTCTGTCTATCTATTACAGGGCCTTTAGCCAGTGCGTTGACCAACCGTTATGGATGCAGGATTGTAACTATTTTGGGAGCTTTTATATCCTCTCTAGGATTTATTATCAGTATATTTGCTCCCAATATTTATTATCTTTACTTCACTTTTGGAATAATGGCAGGTAAGTACAGTTTTTGTTTTTATTATTATTTACATGAAAATTTTCCATTAAGTATCAACGATAAAAAGAAAGATAGATAAAAGAAGGGTTAAAAATAACCAGTTTCTTAATCTTTTGATCAAGTTCCATTTGAAAACATTTGGCAGAATTTATGATCTGTGTAGTTGGACTGATTGTGAAATTTGCACCAAGTGGAAATAAATGTCTGTTTGGGTATTCAGTATAGATTTCTGATTTTTACATGCTAACATTTATTGCATGTTTGCTTACATTTGACTTTTAAAGCGGGACAATGTTAGATTTAGCATGGATAATTTTGCTACTTGTGGGTGTATAGGGGGGCTAGAGAAGCCCTAGTTAATTTTTAGCTGTCCATCAGAAGTATAATTAATTGTTATCAAAAGATGGCATATGATTTATGTGATTTTGTCTATTTCTAGGACTTGGATTTGGACTGATTTACTTACCAGCTATTGTCAGTGTCGCCAATTATTTTGAGAAGAAGCGTTCATTTGCTACAGGGCTTGCTGTTTGTGGCTCTGGATTTGGAACCTTCATTTTTGCACCATTTTCAAAATTTCTGGTCGATCAATTTACGTGGAAAGGAGCAGTTTTAATTCAAGGAGGTCTTATCCTAAATGTTGTGGTTTGCGGAGCTCTGTTCCGACCTCTTGAAGCACCTGAAGAAAAAGAAGAAATTATTATGAAAAAGTTAAAAAAAGAAGCTTCAGATCTTGAACAACAGACAAAAACTAAAAAGGGATCTATTGATCATGAAGAATTAAAAGTGCTTCTTACTGAAACACCAAGTGCCATTTTCAAAAATCGAAACTTAGAAATTACTGAAACCCATGCCTTAGCAAATAGTCATAATCATCTTAGCTTGCCACGTCCTACTAACGGTGCTTTAGGAATTGCAAATTTAGCTAGGAGTGATGGAGCTATACACCGAGTGCCGAATGGCAAGTCCTCCATCCCTCTTTCAGCTATATCTTTTCAAAGACAGCATTCACATGGCTCTACTGCTGGTCCTCTCATGAGGAAAGATATTTTTTATCAAGCTAGCTTACAGAATATTCCCATGTATAAATCCAATCCCGACTTCTACATAACTAGTGTCACATCTATTCCTGATGCTGGCAAGGAAGACACCGCGGCTTGGAGATTTTGTAACTGCTGCAAGCCATCCATGGAATTTAGAGAAACTATTCATCAAATGTTAGATTTTTCCTTACTAAACGATGTGATTTTTGTTATGTTTGCGGTGTCTAATTTCTTCACTAGCATAGGTTTTAATATGCCGTTCATCTATATCCCTGATCGTGCCCTGGAAGCTGGAATAGATGAAAGTCGTGCTGCCTTTCTGTTGTCTGTGATAGGTATTGCTAACACAGTTGGACGTGTTTTATTTGGATGGCTGTCTGATCGTAGTGGTGTCAATCGACTCATGTTATATAATACTGCCTTAACTATTTGTGGTATTGCTACTGCCTTAAGTCCTTACTGTGGCGGGAATTATGCACTTCTGGTTACATATTGTGCAGTATTTGGATTATTTATTGGTAAGTTATTATCGGATTATTTATAGACCAGAAATATCACAATCATTGTAATATCTTACATGTAAGTATAATATTTGGGTTAATAGAATAATTATGACATTAACCCAGAACATATTATTACAGTGAATGAAGTGTTGACAAAAGCTTACATAGCAGTACAAAATTTTATCCATACTGATTCTATAGCATGCATATCCCAATTGTGGATCTCAAACCATCCATAAAGACATGCTGGATTATAAATAAAATATTTTAACAGTGAATTTATTTTATCATGTACCATAGTTTAAAAAAAATAAAAAGTCTGTGTTAAAAGTTTAACAATCCCCATTCAATTTTAATATAGACATAATTATAAACAAGTTGATTTACTATCAAACCATGTCAATGTGTTAATGTAATTATTATGTATGTTTTATTACAGGTGTATATGTATCTTTAACATCTGTAGTATTAGTGGATTTACTTGGTCTAGATAAATTGACAAATTCTTTTGGACTACTTCTCTTATTTCAAGGAGCAGCTACATTTATTGGTCCACCAATGGCAGGTAATTTAAGAAAATTTTCTTGAATATTAATAATGATTTGGAGTTTTATACATAGGCGTACGAGCTGGGGGGGCAGGGGGGGCGGCCTCCCCCCCATTTTGGGCACCAAATTCTGGGAAAATTTGGGCACACAATATTGTACTTTGTAAAAGTTGTATAAAAAATATTGCGTTCTTGAATGTGTCCAATTAAACAGTGAATTTATTATTATTATGTAACATACTAAGAACCTAACTACATTTTTTGGGCACCAACCACCGACGCCCCCCCCCAGTCAAAAAAATTCCCTTACGCCTATGGTTTTATAGTACATGGAGGGGGAATGGTTGTTTAAAGGTTACAGAAATGGTTTATTGGACCGCATTTATTCTGAATTATGGGATAGATATGCAATCATGTCCCTTATCATATGAAATTGCATACCCATTCTGTAGGTCGTACATCTGTGGAAGGGAAGCAGTGGTGGCTCAGTGAGTAAAACGTTGGCTCTCTAACCTGGAGGTGCCGTATTCGATCCTGATGTCAGCCGAGAAAGTTCATTTGGTTTCCCTTTGTTAGTGCTGCAAGACAAAAGGAAGTACCGTAATTGGTTTAATGACAGTGATTAATTATAAACTACATTCTAATTAAAACTGTTTTTATTGTCTCCTGCCTTTCGAAGAAAGCAGAGACTATTAAAATGGGTTCGTCTGTCTGTCTGTCCGTCACTCTTTTTGGGACACAATAACTCTCTTTCTAATTAAGCTAGAATGTTCAAACTGGGTGTAGGTGTTAATTAGGTCAATGCCTTGATGGAGTTCGAAGATGAACATTTTCTGCTTAGGGTAAGCAGAGATAAGCAATTTGATTGGTTGATGCTTTGGGACACAATAACTTTAGTTCTAATTAAATGAGAGTGATGAAACTTGGTGTATAGTTTCATTACATCAATACCTCGACTAAGTTTGATAATGAGCATTTTCTGCTTGGTGTAAGCAGAGCGATAAGCAATTGGATTGGACGAGACTTTGGAACACAATAACTCTCATTCTAATAGAGCTAGAATGTTCACAATTGGTGTAGGTGTTTATTAGGTCAATGCCTTGATGGAATTCGAAGATTTCTGTTTAGGGTAAGCAGAGATAAGCAATTTGATTGGTTGATGCTTTGGGACACGAGTGAGAGTGAGGACACTTGGTGTAGAGTTTTATTACATCAATACCTTGACTAAGTTCGATAATGAACATTTTCTGCTGTGGGTAAGAAGAGCGACAAGCAATTTGATTGGTCGAGACTTTGGAACACAATAACTCTGCTTCTAATTGAGGTAGAATTTCAAACTTGGCGTAGGCGTTCATTAGATATATGCCTTGATGGAGTTCGATGATGAACATTGTCTGCTTAGGGTAAGCAGAGAAAAGTAATCTGATTGGTTGTTGCTTTGGGACACAATAACTTTGGTTCTAATTAAGTGACAGCGATGAAACTCTGCATATAGATTCATTATATCATTACCTTGACTAAATTCGATGGTGAGAATTTTCTGCTTAGACTAAGGAGCGATAAACAATTTAATTGATTGGTCAAGACATAACAACTCTGCTTTTTATTGAAGTACATGTAGAATGTTTAAACTTGATGTAGCTATTCATTAGGTGAATGTCTTGACTGAGTTCAATGATTAACATTTTGAGCTAAAGCTAAGCAATTTCATCGGTCGATTGCTTTGGGACAAGATAACTTTGATTCTATCTGATAGAGAGTGATGAAACTTAGTGTATAGTCCATAATCAGTTTGATTGCTCTGATACTTTTGAAAAAAAAAATGTGCAATTAATTAATATGTGTCATCTATTTATTTTGGCATTTTGGCGGGTGACATCAGCCTCACTGTTTGGCTTAAGCTTGTTATATACAAATTTATACATGTATAAACTGACCTGTTAGTGTTAAACTGACCTGTTAGTATAGTTCCTAGAACACAATCTGATGCCTTTCTTATAAACCAGTGTTGGTCACAAACACAATATAATGGATACAAAGACTGTAATACATGATTTATATTTTCTAGGTTGGATGTATGATTGGACTGGAAGTTATGATGTATCTTTTCAAGTAAATGGGGCTATGGTGGCATTCAGTGGAGCTATGTTATATTTTATTCCAATGGTAATACGCTATAAAGAGAAAAAATTAGGTATTAGTACTGTTACAGAGGTTGATCTTGGAGATACTTTATGTTCCCCAGAACCAGAACTTGATGTTCGTGTAAGAACTCTTTCTGTGTAAAGTTTGTTTTTAATTTCTTGCAGATATTATGTTTAAAAATGTATGATTTATTTCTGGTTTCCTCTCACTGCTAAAGACCCCTACCCACAAGTGAATTGTTGAAATAAAATTGAACCATAGGTTAGTCCTGAAATGATCTACAAGATTGTGTCGATTGGGCATTAAATTCCATTACACTCTCTGTGTTTGTGTGATTCTTATCACAATTAGTGGTTGCACTAAATAAATGTTTCTGCCCATATGTCATAAAATCTATTTAGTGTGGGACCACCAGAATTAGTTCTTACAATTATTTCTGTTTAATATTAATCAGATATTTTAAAGAAATTGAATGTAATTGACTTCACAGCTTTGATGAAAAATAAAGTACATTGACAATGTACATGTACAAATGTATCTGTAGAATGTGATAAAATATTTCAAAAGAATTTGTTATTGTTGTTAAAAATCCTGTAGTTTGTATATTTACATTTGATATATCAGCATGTCATAACAATTTATGTTACTGTTATTTGTTATGGTATTACTTTATATATTTGTTTATTTAATGGATGTATAGATTCAATAATTTTAAATTATGTTAGTTCAACTAAAGGTACATTCTCTTACATTTACACCTCTTTTAATGTTACATTTACCCCTTTAATGGTAACATTTACTCTTTTTAAGGTTGCATTTACCTCTTTAAAGGTTATATTTACCTCTATAATTGTAACATTTACCTCTTTATATTACCTATTTAAATACAGTGACAAGTCTAACCCCTGAACTGAAACAATGGACTTGAAACAAATGGATTGTGCATTTTAATCTAGGGGATGGTGGTGAAATTTTTTTTTACCTCGCCAACCCATACCCACTTCCAGCCGGACTAGCCTCTCAAACACGACAGGCTCATAGGGTCTATTTTTGCATCACAAGCTATCCAATGTGCATAATAAACTATAGATTTCATAAAATAGGTACATGTAAACACAAGATCATAAAGCATAAATACAACTTTTTGACATGATATTTAAACCGAAATGTAGAGATTGTACCTTTAAGTTCAACTTAAAGATGAATTTTGTTTTGATATAGAAATATGTGATGTATGTTTTAAATGAGCTAGTAGAATTAGAAAGTATATTAAAGTTTGTTAGAGAGAATTTTACCATATTTTTGATCTTTTATCTACATTTTTATATTATATATATATATAATATATATTATAAATATTACACCATACTGTACATGTTTTAATGTATTGTAAGGGTCTGAAGATAAAATTGAAGATGTTCAAGCAGTCATAATAATAGTATATGAAGGCAACCATGTGTAATCATCTCTGGCTAAATATGAGAAATAAATGAAAATGCACATATGCATAATTCTACCTATTAAATGGCCCTTAAATTCATAATACACCATAATATTATTTTCTGAAAAAACACAATTGGAAATTACTGACACAATTAAAACTCAAAAGCCACAAAAAAAGCAAATTTGGTGCATTTCTGATACATTGGAGAAATGGAAATACAATATTCTGGAAACTAAAATTGACAATTTATTATGTTTGTGCCATACATGTATCTGCAAAGAGTAGTATGTGACATGTCTTATTTAGCCAGAGCGGTTGATGATTATTTCACTGTATATGTTGGCTGCCGTTATATAACAAGTCCATTCAACGTGATTGAGAGCCATGCACCAATAAATAATTATGTTTTAACGACTTTTGCTTATACAACATTTTTGCACAAAATATCTGTTATCATATTATGATCTTGTCATATTTTTTATGTTATGTTGATTGATACTGATAGATAATAGTTTTGCAAGATAAAGGCAATATTTTAATCAAAACATATCCATTAATTATAATATTTGATTAGCTTTACATTATTTTAAAATCCATATGCTTTTGTTAACAAATCGGATCCTTTAAATTCCTACTGGTCTTTGTGTACACATCCAATCACTTAATTTTTGAATGCTTTTGAGTGTTATAGTTACATATGTGTAAAACAAATATCCACAAAGTATGTCCACTGTATTATAGTCAACTTTACTAAAATTATTCTAACATTTTGCTCTGTTCTTTAACTCACTTCATTATGTTCAGTAACAAGAAGATTATGATTAGTCAACTCTAGATCAATTTATAAGTCAAAATTTGTGAATCATTTTAAAATGCTTTTATTATCGAGAGGTGGTGGGATCGTTTGATTGGCTGTCTCTAACCAATATATATGATTCACCCAATGTTAGTGTCAGTACAATACAATTGATATTCTGAAAATGACTGCATGCAGTCAGGGCATTATAAAGATTAATTGTTTTTTTGAAAATATACCAATATGTGCACCATTTTTGCCTTGCCAAAAATATCTACATTCTTATATTTTAATATAACATGGTATGAAAGAGTAAGATGAACGATATGAAGTTAAATTTAAGGGATTTTATACGCCCACATGGAAATGTCGTTGCATATTGCCGTCGCCCCCGTCCGTCTGTCGTCCACAATTTCTTGTGAACACTCTACAGACTACATTTATCATCTGATTGTTTTGAAATTAATATATGTTGTTTGTATTAGTGATCTAAAGAAGCCTACCTTGTGAATGCTCGAAGGACAAAAGTTATTATCCGATCTGTATGAAATTCATATGTCTTGTTTAAATTAGTAAAACGAACAAGCCTATTGAGTTTCAGCAAATTTCTGTTAATTACATCTAGAGTTATGGCCCTTGTTTCACTTTGTTGAATCTTGTGAACGCTTGAACGACAAAAGTTATTAGCCAATCTGTATGAAATTCATATACATCATTTAAATTAGTGAAATGAAGAAGTCTATTGTGTCAGCAATTTCCATCAATTACTTCTAGAGTTATGGCCCTTGTTTTACTTTGTTGAACCTTGTGAACGTTCGAACGACAAAAGTTATCATCCGATCTGTATGAAATTTGTATGCATTATTTGAATTAGTAAAACGAAAAAGCCTGTCGAATTTCAACAATTTCTGTAGACTACTTCCAGAGTTACGGCCCTTGTTTTAGTTTTTAGAATCTTGTGAACTCTCAAACGGCGAAAATTATAATGTCATCTGTATGAAATTGTCTATTAAATGCCCCTAATTACCTACAAAAGAATAAATATGCGACAACCCTTGTCGACCGCTCGGACGATTTAGCTGCTGTGGGCGTATGTTTTGTTGCCTGGCAACCCTATCTTTTTTTTGAGAACATGTTAGGTGAATTTTTTCTAGAGAGTGACAGATTTTATTTTTTGAGAAATCTAGAACTTATATTAAGTCTGATTCCAAACTTTTATTTAGTCAGAATCAAATACTTATATTAAGTCGATGTAGAGATGTGTGTTTGTTAGATGTTGTTTTTTTTTTGTGCAGGTATTTTATTAAATAAAATAATTAGCAATATGTCAACTTTTGACATTCCAATCTAGATTATTTCAGTGACCCTATCTCTATAAATCAGTCAACAGCTATATGCTAGAATTATGTGGATCCCTTATTATTATAATTGACTCATTCTAGTTGATTCTATAATATTGTAGAATGAATTTTATAAGATGTATATTTTTAAGAGCCTGAAACAGATAACATTTTACACACAATAAGTTCAAACCTAGTTGAAGAAAAATGAACACTATCATCCCTTACTACACAATAATACTTATCCATGATAATATCACACTGTAATAAAAGTAGGTTATATAATATACCTGCCAATTATCAGTTCAAGATTGCTGTGCAATAAACAATGGGAATATTCATCCCTTTGTTATGATGTTATATGTAATATGTGTAACAGAGAAAAAAAATAAAGGCTATCAAAATGATCTGTAGAGAGGAAAAACAATAAGATAACATTTGATGAGGTCGAGCATTTTATCTACAGCACTTATACTCAGTCTCTTCAGACCTGCTTATCAGTTTTGTTTCAAGTTACATCACGTTATCTATTGATTATATTTACTGTATATGGCACTAATGGAATTTCTGATTAAATTTTAATGCAATTTGCTACTTGACTAAATCAAAAAACCTTATTTCTTTTGTTGAATTATTTGCGAATTTTCTTAATACATTGTTATGGAGAGGTTGTCAAAAATGGGTTTATTGTTAGCTGAGATGTTATTATATTCAAATTATTTGTTTGTATCTGTATGGGATTATGTATTGTTTAAAGAAAATAGGAAAAAAAGAAGCAAATGTCTAATTTAAAGCAATAAAATCACTATATTATGTAAATTGTGTATTGTTTTTGTTTACTTGTTGCTAGGATAGCCATGTGGTTATGGCTGAATTCCCTCATTTAAAACATTTTTTTATATGCCATCACAGATCCCTTTTACTATTTTCTAAAAGTGTAGTGGTGTCCATATGTTTGGAGGTGTGGAGGGAAGGAGAAATAGGCAATTTTTATCTCTGATTATAGGTGGAGTTGCCCAACATGGTTTTAGTGATGTATTATCTCTGATGAAAGGATAAAGAAGTATCTATCACAGCTCTGTTGATGGGATCGTGGAGGGCTTTAGTTGTTATCTCACATAAAGGGAGTGGTGTCCAATACCGAGGAGATAATTTCATCTCCTATATTGAGGAGATGTTACCTAATGGTTGGCAATAGTAAAAGGGCGACATGACATAGTTAATATCGATTAACCACAAAGTGGGAGAAACTAATTTATGGAGCCATTATGCTAGAACTATATTTGCCCATTGCATGGAGTTTTTATTATCATTCAGGCATGTAGTCCCATGACAAGCCAATCATCTCTCTAGTCTATCAGATGACTTGGATATTGAATGGATTAGACAATGGTTGCAATATCTGCGTTAAACGCTAATATGGCAGACAAGCCAAAATTTTCCAAATATATACATGACATGCATCCACAGCGACAATATCTCGTTATACACGGCTTTTTATTTCTATACTATATAATAAAATTCTTATAATTGGATTAAAAGGTTTACAAATATACTTTTCAAAAAAAGGAGGGGATATTGAAATGCAAATACCTATGCAGGTTGTGATGATATGATAAATAGTCATGGACACTAGAAATGCTTTCAGAGTATATTCACAGATGAAGAACCTATCACGCCAACACAACCACTAAGCTGCACATGCGACACGCAATAGCACCAAACACGGGGGGATGGATTCATTGTCAAATTTGGCACTTCAAGGAAGGGTTGATGAAAACTGTCGCATACTGGTTTATCCTATCCATGTTTGCTTTCCTATCGGTTCTTGCATAAGATTTACTGTTTGGCGTATCTTTGCTTTATTGTGTTACGTTTAATTTGCAATGAGACGTCTTCAACATGATGAACGTCTACATGCTGTTGGCTTGGCATGCTTCAAATGGGTTCTACACAGCGAGCAGTAGCCAATTATGCTACCAACAAACACACAATGTTGATGATAGACCTCGTTCAGGTCGTCCTAGAGCAACTACACAAACCCAGGATCGATACATTCGTACACAGGTCCTGTGAAATCGAGGACAAACGGCCAATCAGCTTTCTGTAAACTTGTACCAAGTTACAGGAATTCGAGTTACACCCCAAACGATTAGAAATCAGCTACATGCAGCCCATTTGCATGCGCGACGACCGCGTTTTGTGCCTCAATTATCTCGCCAACATATTGCAAACATGTGTCAATGGTGTAGGCAGCGTAGAAATTCGGGTAATTGTCGATGGGCGCATGTAATGTTCTCAGATGAGTCCAGATTTACTCTGGATTTCACCAATAGGCGTGCTCGTGCTTGGAGGCATGCGTCATGACAGATTCGGGCGTGGGTCTCTTATGGTGTGGGGAGGAATCACCATGACTGGCAGAACGGACTTGCATATTGTTCAAGGAAGGGTCACTGGTGTGTACTACCGTGACCACATCCTGGTACCGATAGTTCTGCCCTTTGCTCAATGTGCAGATGATAATGCCTGTGCCCACCGTGCTCGTGTCGTGAATGACTACCATTAGCATCACCATATTGTTCATATGCCTTGGCCAGTCATGAGTCCTGACCTTTCACCTATAGACCATGTCTGAGATATGATCGGGAGACGTGTTCATTGGCCGTGGCACTGCAAGAGGAGTGGGCCAGATTGCCCCAAATCCTGATTGGACAGTTGATTAGGAGTATGCCACGACGAATTGCTGAATGTCTGGGTATTGGTGGAGCAATTAGCCTACTCATTAATAAGACAAAAATCAAAAACGTCCATTTTCACTTTTGACAGTGTATCTTTGTGAGTGAATTGGGACCGTCAGATAAGCCGTTTATGTTCATGCAATTGGCCTGTTATTAACATACACTGGTTACCTCTAATAACCAGCGGCTGCCAGGCAGAATACGCCCACATTTTCGAGAGATGGATAGAGAACAAGCTAAAAAGAAAGTGATTTTTCCTACAATCAACGGCCATAATTCAGGAAATTACAATTCGATATGCGCAAATATCGACAGGAACTGAAATCTTTGGGTTATAAACTTACATTTCAAGTTTCAACAAAATCGGATAAAAATTGTGACCTCTATAGGGTCCACAACCTTGATATACCATATTTTTAAGCTATTTGTCTGTCAGTTTTGGGCCGATTTTCACGAAATTCGAACTCAGTCGTCCTTATGGTGTAACGGTGATATAATAATACGTTTTTTTAAATCGGATAAAAATTATGACCTCTATAGGGGTCCACAAGCTAAAAACGCGATTTTTCGTACAATCAGGACCATAATTCAGGAAGTTACGGTCCGATATCTGCGAATATCGAAAGAAATCGAGACCTTTGGATTATAAACTTACATTTCAAGTTTCAACAAAATCGGATAAAAATTGTGACCTATTTAGGGTCCACAACCTTGAAATACCCAATTTTTACGCTATTTGAGAACGAAGGGCAGCCATTTTGTCTATCAATTTTGGGCCGATTTTCACGAAATTCAAACTCAGTTGTCTTTAGGGTGTAACGGTGATATAATAATACGTTTTTTTAAATCAGATAAAAATTATGACCTCTATAGGGTCCACAAGCTAAAAACGCGATTTTTCGTACAATCACGGGCCATAATTCAGGAAGTTACGGTCCGATATGCACGAATATCGAAAGGAACCGAGATCTTTGGGTTATAAACCTACACTTTTCAAGTTTCAACAAAATCGGATAAAAATTGTGACCTCTATAGGGTCCACATCCTTGATATACCATATTTTTACGCTAGTTGAGAACGAATGGCGGCCATTTTGTCTGTCAATTTTGGGCCGATTTTTACGAAATTCGAACTCAGTCGTCCTTATGGTGTAACAGTGATATAATTATACGTTTTTTTAAATTGAATAAAAATTATGACCTCTATAGGTCCACAAGCTAAAAACGAACGAACGGCGGCCATTTTGTCTGTCAATTTTGGGCCGATTTTCACGAAATTCGAACTCACTCATCCTTATGGTGTAACAGTATCGGATAAAAATTTTGACCTCTGTAGGGTCCACAAGCTAAAAACGCGATTTTTTGTACAATCAGGGGCCATAATTCAGGAAGTTACGGTCCGATATGCGCGAATATCGAAAGGAACCGAGATCTTTGGGTTATAAACTTACATTTCAAGTTTCAACAAAATCGGATAAAAATTGTGACCTCTATAGGGTCCACAACCTTGATTTACCATATTTTTACGCTATTTGAGAATGAACGGCGGACATTTTGTCTGTCAATTTTAGGTCGATTTTCACGAAATTCGAACTCAGTCGTCCTTATGGTGTAACGGTGATATAATAATACGTTTTTTTAAATCGGATAAAAATTATGACCTCTATAGGGTCCACAAGCTAAAAACGTGATTTTTCGTACAATCAGGGGCCATAATTCAGGAAGTTATGGTCCGATATGCGCGATTATCGAAAAGAATCGAGATCTTTGGATTATAAACTTAAATTTCAAGTTTCAACAAAATCGGATAAAAATTGTGACCTCTATAGGGTCCACAGGCCAAAAACGTGATTTTTCATACAAACAGGGGCCATAATCCATGAAGTGTCGATCCGATACATGCCAATATCGAAAGCAGCCGAGATCTTTTGGAGATACACCTATATTTCAAGTTTCGTTAAAATCGGATAAGAATTGTGACCTGTAGAGTGTCCACAAACAAATTGTGGACGGACGGACAGGGGCGACGGCATAATACGTCCACATGAAAATGTGGGCGTATAAAAACAGCAGTGTATTTCCACAGTTTTGTATTGTTTCTGAATCAGGGGCAGATTGGGGCCGGTAACCGGCCCGAGCTACTGTGTCGGAGCAGCCCCTTTTACTGTCCGCGGAGCTCGGACGGGGGATCCGGGTGCTCTCTCCCGGGAAAATTTTGAAAAATGAACCCCAAATATGCGATTTGGTGGCATATCTGATTATAATCTCTGTCCAATTCAGCCAGCAGACCAGCTATCACCAAATTTTGCTGAGGCCTTAAAATTGAATTTTTTTGGGATATATGAACCATTGGCTGACGTTTCTGGCATATCCCCACAAACAGGGTGCAGGTGACTTAATAATTAGTAAATTTGCGGACGACAGTGTCGGGTGAATCCGATGAAATTTTCGGATAAAATTCGGAATCCCCATTGCAAGATTCCGAATTCCGGCCCAGAAAGTCTATTATACCAGCCCATTCCAGACTCCAGTGATGGTGTGGCGACCCGTTAAAGCCACCGGCCACATAACATGATCATCATCGCTCCAAGGCCGGTCGAATACCCCCGCCATATAATGTTCAGCAGAAAAAAGGTTTTTTAGACGATATTCTGAATATCCACAGTCTGAAACCAGTATAGTCATTCATAACTTTCTTCCTAATTTTTTTTACTATTTTGGAATAGTAACAATTATACCAGCTATTTCTTCAAATCTTCCATTCTGCATCTTATTTCACAGTTAGCTGTCAGGGGAGACTACTATTAATAGTTTTCGTTTTCTCTACTTTTGTTTTGTTCTTTTGTGAAGAAAACAATTTCCTTATATAGCTGTTGCCTAAAGATATATATTAGTTAAATTATACTAGGCTACACTCATCATATATACCTTGATGTGTGTGTGTTGATTACATAGATAAGTGTGATCATCAGTCCGTGTCGTGTAGATGCAACTGATTTTGTCTTGTGACCTTCGAAGGTATAATTCACCCAAGCATATTTCTAAAGTTGCATTAGTTCCAGTGGCAGTGGATTCAAACTTTTACTTTAGTTTGCTGAAGCTAATTAAAGTTACCCACGGACCACAGCATGTAAGTAGCCTAGTGTACGGTACTATAATTAATAATATTATTGTTATGTTTAGTTGCCCTGTTAACCGACTTCAAAATCCATGTCTAACTTCATTTATGAGCTAACCCCTGGGCTACCATTGCAATAGCTGATGTTGTAAAGAAGAGCGCCCTTATTGAATCAAAATGTCAGCTCCATGTAACGAGACACTACCGTAGATAAAACCGTACCGGTACTGGAGCAAGTATTAAAATTTAAAAACAAGGGCGAACAACTCCGTAAGGACAATTGGACACAATTCGTATCTTAAAACTCAACAAAATCTTCCTTCTGATATTCTATTGTTATATTGGGTGTAAACCCCCAATAAAACCTTTAGAATACAACAACAATCTGGGCAATGAGTCTATCGGGTTTTTTTTGTTATTACTACTACGAAATGAAGGCTTCTTAGAAATGATATCTTAATAATTTTCTCTCCATATTTTTCAGTAAATACATGTATCACCCCTATCTAGTATCTGAAGAACGAAAATGGGTGTGTTAACGCAAGCTATTATATTATTAACCGCGATAGGTGTTGCTTCCTCGGGTGTAATTCTGTACACACCACTGCCTGACGGTATGGAACAACCCTGGAGATTGAGAGAATACTATGCCAAGACAAAAATGTCCCTCATTGTTGTAAGTTATGAATAAAATAATTGAATTAATTGTTTTAGCTTTGTTGAAATAAAAACATAATCAGTGATGATAAAATGAAAGATAACTGGTCAAACAGCCAGTATATATTATAACAACAGTTTTATTAAATATCTAAAATTAGAGTGAACATTTTATTGAGGGTTCTCTCCTGGCCTTAAACATGCATTATGCAAGAGCAAAATCTGCTTATTACAAGTCTTTAGGCCTGAAATGTTATCTAAATTATCAATTAGACATTAATTAACTTATCCAGACCATAATAAACTCTCGATGTCAAGGCTAGCCTTCGATGTTGGCTGGATTAGATTCTGATATGCCGCTAACAGCTATTGATAATTAATTACCTGTAAAAATTCTTATGCTCTTTAACAAATCTGTGTAGTTGTAACATGGTTTAATGTAAATCGCACCTGTATGTGCAACTGTTTACTTGTCATGTAAATACAACTGTTGAGGGCGCAATAAGTTTAACATATCCCAAATAAACACTTTAATGATATTCTGATTTTAATTTTCTGCATACTTATTAATATCTACTAAATGCAATGGGTATGATTCCACATTGAAGCCGATACAGGTGTGGCTAATCCCATATGGGTAAAATATTGGACCCAGATGTATTATTTTATATGTGGTAGATGCCATATACATAAGATATTGGCCCCAGATACACATGTGGGTAATCCCATATTGATACCATATTGAACCCATATACATAATTTACATGAATGTGGTTATATCATATCCATACCACACAAGCTTCTGGTGCACATATGCGTAATCCTGTCTGTACAGATTGGTTCACAAAACTAAAAGTATGGATTCAATAATGAACTTATACATACAAATAAGTAATCCCATATGGATACCATATTGGCCCCAGATATACAAAAGTTATATGTAGTCCCATACAGATACCATATTATCTCCAGATACACAAGGTAATCCCATTCCAACCTCGTGGGTTTTCTCTGGGTCCTCCGGTTTCCTCCCACTGCTAAAGACCCCTACGTGCAAGCGAATTATTGAAATAAAGTTAAACCATATGTTAGTCTCGAAATGACCTAGTTTGTGTCGAGTGGACGTTAAACCCCATTTCTCTCTCTCTCTCTCAGTAATCCCATATGGACACCATATTGGCCCCATGTATACAAAACAGAGTTGTTAATGTGAGTAATCCCATATTGGCCCCAGATACACACACTATAAGTTCAGATTATCAATGTAAGAAAGAAGTAAGCATTATATCATTTGGCTTATCTCTGTGATATTAATATATACACAACTAAAAGTATGTATTCAATAATGAACTTATACATAGACTAATAAGTAATCCCATATGGATACCATGTTGGCCCCAGATGTACAAAAGTTATATGTAATCCCATACAGATACCATATTATCCCCAGATACACACACAGGTAATCCCATATGGACACCATATTGGCCCCAAGTGTACAAAAACAGAGTTGTTAATGTGGGAAATCCCATATAGGTCCCATATTGGCCCCAGATACACACACTATACGGTCAGATTATCAATGTAAAAAAGAAGTAACCATTATATCATTTGGCTTGTCTCTGTGATATTAATATATGAAAATAAAGTGTATTTGCGTACATTTGTATGTGGTAAGATAATATGGGTCCTATATGGGGACCTTGTGGTATCACCTGGGCCCACAGCCCATTTTTTCCCCATATGGTCCCCATGTGGCAATGTTTATGGGGTAAATCAGAAAAAGTGGATAATCGAGACTATGTTGTTTATATTAATGATTTTAGTAATGATGACCGAGACTATGCAAAAATTTCACCCGCTTCTTTCTCGGCTCATAGTGGATCAATTTGACTGAAATTTCCAGCAAATTACCTTTACACTATCTAGTTTTTAACTATTATAGCGAGAACTGCCATAATGTATCTTTAATTAAAATAGTAATTGTGTTCCTTCCATATGTTTTGTGTATTAGTTTTAAACTTAAAAAGATAAGAAATGAAACTGTTTGTATTATTTATCTACAGGGTGGATTAGCTGGTCTAGTTGGATATAGTAGTGTAAATGTATCAAGAGTTTTATTAGATAGAATACAACTAACTAATGGTTCATCAGATACTCATCCTAACCTACAGGTAACCCGTCCCTTTTACACCCCCCCCCCCCCATTCCTCCTCCCCCCAATTCCTCCTCCCATCCCCTCCTCATAAAGTTTACACCGAGCTTGGCCTTAAGTAATGAAAGGATTGTAAGAGTCATTCAGGCCTGCATTATATTTAGGCTAAGTTTAGTGGATTTTGTGTTTCTTTTTTTTTTTAAATTCTGTTCCAATGTCCATAACTATATAATTTATATGAACTGAAAGTCGTTTAAAACTTTATTCGACCACAGAGAGTGCTATATTATTATGAAAAGTACTGTTATTTTGTCAGGAAGACATTTATGATATTTTTTTGCTAATTAGTTAATATTTATTATAGGTATCTAATGTATTATTAGATGGTATACAGGCTAGAGTTTATAGACCTATTAATAAAGATGGTCTATTACCGTGCTTTATATATTATCATGGTGGTGGATTAGTCTACAGTATCAGTAAGTTGATTTTGTGTACTTTGGAAAATAAAATGGAGCAGAATGTCAACATTAGCAAATTAAAACTAAATGCATTACGGTACATTAAGTCTGGGCTAGGAATGTCTGATCATGACTTATTCAAATACTTCTAAAATAATACCATTTTTACCCATGCTAACCATTCAGTCTGATTGGAGCTCTTACATGGTTTGTGAGGTTTACTTATTTTGTTTCTGTTCTAGTTTAGTCTAACTTTGATTAATTTATTGCAGAACAAATCGTACAAATGGATTAGAAGTGTAGAACAATTTTTACTAATTTTGTATACTCTCCAATAGAAGATATCATAGAAATTACAAACAGATGAACATACATATTTATATAGTTTCTCTCTCTCTGGGAACATTTCGTCTAAATTGGATCTCAGTATCCCCACTCTATACCGTTTTGTATTTTCTGGGGTTTTTTTTAAAGTTATTTATGTTTTTCAGATACATATGATGGTGTAACAGCTAAAATTGCTAACGATAGTGACATAGTGGTAATATCAATAGAGTAAGTAGGAACTAACCTCGAGGCATAACATTTACAGCCTTTTGTTTGATAAAGTGACACATATCACACTGATATGTGTGTGTCTCACTTTTACACCTGTGGACTACTGGGCAACCCTCTTATCTCACTGCACTGGCTGGCTGGCTTGGTTCTTTAACGTCTGCTTCCTCTTCAGTGATATCGCAGACAAGCTTCTTCCTGTATATTAGAATATGATTTTGCAATCTTTCCATTTACAGCCATAGGCCATGGAGTGATTTAGTGGGAAGTTATGCCCTTTATTTAATAATAAACATATCGTTTAATAGTTGAAATGAAATGAAATGAAATGGGGTTTAACATAACGTCCTACTGTTCTGCTCCTAAACTGGGCTAATGAAGACGGGCATACGCCATACAGTGTGCTATGAGGGAAATTTTGCCCGGGCAGCGGCACTACGGCCTACGCTTATATCGATTTCCAACTGCCAAGGGATCTTTTACGTGCACACCAATGTGTACACGGGACCTCGGTTTTTCTTCCCATCCGAACGACTAGACAGCTATCCTTGTCAGGCCCTCCGTCCTGCATCACTGACAAGGGGAAACCGCGCTGGAAAATCTGGATGAACTTTCTTGGCCAATGCAGGGATCAAACACCCGACCTCCAGGCCAGCGTCTTACCCACTTAGCCAAGTGATCCCCCCGTTTAGTAGTTGATCTGTAGAAACAGCATTTATACGGACATATATGCATCTCTTCTCTAGCTCAGTCTAGGTGTCACCTGTATATTTATGATAGAAAAATATGTATGACCTTAGCTTATGCCCCTTGAATTTGTTAGGCGGTCATTGATTGACTGTTAAAATGTCTGTTAGCCAATCATAATTTGACACAGAAAATACCATTCAGTTCAAGAAAACTTGTTATCAGGCTTAAAATAGTTGGAATTTGGTAATATCACACAGGTAATGAAATTTTACCAAAACACAGATTAACGATTTTGCCGGTATATCCCACCACTTTGCGAAAGGTACAGTCCCTATATATATAGTTGTATGGCAAATTAAATTAAAAACGGAACTAGTCTAATAAGATGGGAGTTATGAGGATTTTGTTCGATGATTTTTTGGATATTGTTATGGGTAATGGCACCCTTTTCAAAACAAATGTGACTATTTTCAGATATAGAAAAATACCAGAGTTTCCCTATCCTGCTTCTATTGATGATGGTTACACAGCTACATTGTATATTCTAAATAATGGAAAAAGGCTGGGTGTTGATCCAACTAAAATATCTATCGGAGGTAGGTCTGCATTTATTTCAGCCCGTAGAAAGTATACATTATGCGATATGTTTATAGCTTCTGTTGGGTGGGGCAAGCCAAAGTAAGAAAATAAATAATACCTTCTATTTGTGACAATGAAAACATATGTAGGTTTGTGGTTCAGATCATATACTGACTATAGTCAGTGCAGGCTTAAAATTATTCATGGGGCAACTTTCACCAAACCTTTCTTTAGGGATTGTTTAGTAAACTGTTGGGTGTAGGTAAGTCTTTTACAAAGGGACTCTGGTCTGCCTTTGAAGGCATTGTGCATTAGGCATTAGAGGGCAATTCACACTGTTCGTTCAACTTAAAGGGGCATTAGGTAAGATTAGATAAAGAGCTGACAATTCTCGTTATAATAGTTAAGAAATAGATAATAAAAATATAATATGCTGAAAATTCGTGGGTTGGATGGCCGAATGGTTTGCACGTGCGTGCTGTATCATAAGGCCTGTCATTGAGTCAACTGGCGTGGCTTCGAATCCCCGGAAGTATGTGACAAGGAGTAGGGTCGCCTGTCCAACCTCGTGGGTTTTCTCCAGGTCCTCCGGTTTCCTCCCACTGCTAAAGGCCCCTATGCGCAAGCAAATTATTGAAATAAAATTAAACCATATGTTAGTCCCAAAATGAAATAGTCTGTGTCAAGTGGACGTTAAACTCTCTCTCTCTCTCTCCCTCTCTCTCTCTGAAAATTCAGTCAAATTGCCTCACTCTGAACCGAGATATTAGTGATTCAATTTTTATGCTAGCCTCGATCATCATTACTAATGTTGATACGATATTAAACAATGTCTTGATTATCCATTTTTGTTAAATTATCCATCATAAAACGTATTCAAATCCACTAAATATTGCAGGATAATGATGGCATCATGAGTTGATTATGGTCTGAATTAATAAGTTAATTTTATCTTAGTATTTTGTTATTTATATGGTGTATTGCAGGTGACAGTGCTGGTGGTAACATGGCGGCTGCACTAGCTCTCAAACTTCGCGACAACAAGGTGACACCCAAAATAGTTGGACAAGTACTTATCTATCCAGTTTTACAAACATGTGATTTGCACACACCAAGTCATCAATTGGGTTCCAATTATCTTTACAATGGCCGGGCATTTGCTGCTGAAGTGGCTGTCATGTATTTGGGATTACCAAGCCATTTTAAACAATTTATTATGAGTGAAAATCTTTCTTCTCCTGAACTGACAAAAAAGTGTAAACGTTTTGTCAATCATAAATATTTACCAGAAGAATTTATACCTCAAGGTTACTTGCGCACTGATGTCACCGCCGATCCTACCAACAAGGATGCATTAATGTTAGGGAAGAAAATGTCAGATCCATACTTTTGTCCGCTTATGGAAGAAATTTTGGGAGATCTTCCACAAACGTTAATTGTTACTGCAGAATTAGATCATATTAGAGATGATGGAGTTATTTATGCCCGGCGTCTACAAAAAGCGGGCGTAAAAACCGAATGGCGTCATCTACCAGATAGTTTCCATGGTGTTTTAACAATGATTGACAAGGATTATGGATTTCAGGGCGGTGAAATAATGATAAACCATATAGCAAATTTCTTAAAAACACTTTACTTTGGGGTATGAATTTTTGATCCATGTTTGCTTGGCATATCTTAAAACTGACATGAGTGAATGATATTATCTTCTATGTGATAAAAGGATACACTGTAGATTCAGAGAACTGAATTTATTTTAATGTTATCTCAGGGAAAACAATAAAAATTTTATACACCCACTAGCATCCAACCAATATAATAATGTCCGCTACAAAATGTGATAAACTTTGCCAAGACTGATACTGTTGAAAATACCTTGTATGTTAAAAAGTTTTAATTTTGTACTTGTTTCTTTTGAGCGTCAGTTTACTATAAATATCTTAATTTTGTGAAGATTTTGTCGATTAATGAAGTGTTGATAATAAATGTAACAGCTAGCCTTCGGTATGGTGTTCACCGCATTAACACCCACCAGCATCCAACATAATTATGCCTGGTACAAAATGTTATAAACTTTGCCAAGACTGAGACCGTTGAAAGTTCCATGTATGTTGTAAAGTTTAAATATTTCTGGTATGCACTTAGATAATTTGCTGTCTCCCAAGAAGTGTTGCCCCCAGGCATATGCCCAACTCTATTCTAAGCACATGCCCCCCATAAAAAATACTCATTTATATAAAGTTGCCATTGTGTTCCCCAACCGGCCTACAATTAGCATCAAGAAAGAAGAAAGTGTAAAAAGTTTGACTTTAGGGAAGATCAATATTAAATACATCTTAATTTTTAAAACTAAAATATGTAAAATTAGTTTTATGTGAGTGTACAATTTGAACTACACCAAATTTTGATCGCTTTGAATTCTAAAATTTGAAATATATTGATTCTTTACCTATTCCTTTAAGCATTTTAATATCTCTCCCTATATTCCAAGTATTGGGAAGTTTCGATATTTGTTATCCACATAAAATTGAATTAAATCGGGGTTGAAAATGCACAATGTAATGTAAAGCTTAGGGCTGACATTATTACAAATCAAATGATCATATATACAAATAAATTCAGTAGCTTGCAACCACACAGTTCATTGTTGATAATTCAGTACATGAATTGACTTAGAGATAGAGATGAGCTATATTTTTTTTTTTTTTTTTTGGTATCGGTTGTGCTATATTGAGGTAACAACAAATGCTACAATTATTGTGTTAATCTGCCATTTTGTCAGGGGAGACAACTTCATTTAATGTTTGCGCCTTGTAGAACTACCAATGTTTTAATATTTAAAAATGTAATTATTATATAACTTCAATTTTAATGCCAAAATTCTCAATAATAAAATCACATGTGCTAGAAAGATCTAAGCGGTATTGTGAATCCATATTATAGTTTATCATTTGAGCGTGATAAAATGTAAAACCACTCAATTAATTAGGTTCCAATTTAATGTTTCCAAATCAAAATCTTCAATGAACACAGTAACACTTAATGCCATCGCCTGTCGGTGAGTCATTTCAGAAACACAACTTTTAAAGTAAACAATATTTGAAATCCACCGCGGGTGGATTAATAAGTAAAGACGACCATGGATGTAAGACGTATGATATCATTAATACATAGTGTAGAGCTCACAGCAAATCCAATATAACAAAGGCAATCCAAAGTGTCAACATAAAAAAGCACAACGCTGCTGCATAAAAATGTTTAAGGGGGGGGGGGTGTAGCATCATAAGGTCTGTCATCTGTTGTGGTTTCGATTCCCCGCTTGTCCAACGGCGTGGGTGTTTCTCCGGGCCCTGGCATTCTCCTCCCTCTCTTCAAATCCACCACAAACCACCCCCACCGCAAAAAAAATGTGATGTCAAGGGAGATAAATCCATTTATGAGTAAATTACGTTTAATAGTATACTTCGTCAACCAATTTCATGTACATTTAATTTCAGTCCTAATTTTTAAAACTAAAATATATAAAATTAGTAAGATTTAAGTGTACAGTAATGTTTATTAAGGATTAGTTGATATGCAATTTAATTGCAATCTTCAAGTGGTCACATTTTGCCACAATAAATTTTCTAATATGAAATATAGTAATTCCTATTCCACACGTTTTCAACTACCCATTTCAATATCCCGAAATATGGAAAAACAACTTCCATGAATGTTTGTAATCCACCTTAAGTGGAATTAAAACATAGATATGACAACCCTTTAATGTTTATAACCAGTATATAGGAGAATGTAGGCTTTTCTTAAACAATCGTCTATTAATTATAAAACTGTCCATTATTTATTGAAAAATGAACATGTATTTTGGGATAATTTATTCTCTGAACAAATTAAATTACAGAACATAAAATTACTTTAAAACCTCATAGTTACCGAAATGTCACATGACCGAATATTGATTTCACGTGTTTGTCTACATAAAGAATTCCACTTAAATCCGCCCGTTTAAAGGCTCAATACCACTCTTGTTGTAACTGAATAATATGCCCCAATCTTTATTCTGATCAACAAATTGTACTATTTTAGAATATTTCAATTAATTGATGATACAAATTTCATCTTAACACACCTTATTTAAAAATTTTGAAAAATTCAACATAATGGTTTGAAACGTCTAACGTAAACCTTTTCAAATGAAATTTTGATTTAAAAATATTTTCGAACCCTCTGGACAAGTAAAATAGGATGTAATGGATAATTTACACAACAGGTAGGACACTTAAACATCTAGTACTTAGATAGAGACATTATTTATTTTCTGGAGCTTTCAAGCCAGCAAGAGTGTTATTGTCCCTTTAATAGTACGTTCGGCACTAGATCGATGATACGTTTTTATACGCCCACATTTTCACATCTTCTTTGTGGACACTCTACATGTCATAACTTGAATTTTCCGGCGTGGCCCCCCCTTGTCAGTGATGCAGGACGAAGGGGCTGACAAGGACAGCTGTCTAGTCCTTCGGATGAGACGAAAAACCGAGGTCCCGTCTATACATTGGAATGCACGTAAAAGATCCCTTGGCAGTTGGAAATCGATATAAGAGTAGGCGATAGTGTCGCTGCCCGGACAAAATTTCCCTCAAAGCACACTGTATGACGTATGCCCGTCTTCATTAGCCCAGCATAGGAGCAGAACAGTAGGACGTTAAACCCCATTTCATTTCATAACTTGAAATATAGGTATATATCCCAAAGATCTCGGTTTCTTTCGATATTGGCTTGTATGGGACCAGTGCCGGACTGGTGGGCCGAAGGCCCGCCTGTCAGGTCATTGACCAAGGCCCACACAGGTACGCGCCGAAGGCGCGCGAACGTCCGAGGGAGGTTCGGGGGGGGGGGGGTCTCCCCCCAAGAAAATTTTGAAAATTGACAAACACAAACCCATTGTCCAAGCAGAAGAAGGCAAATTTTTGATTTCCTGATACAATTAGATAACAGAATGACCTAAGAGCACTAGCTTACTTTTAAAGTTCTTTCCTTGTAGTACACTTCTTTTTTTGTGTTGTTTGTCAGTCATTTTTTTTCCTATCTTTTCTTTCTCCTGTCCTGTGTCCTGTCCTGTCCTCTCCTTCCTTCTTTCTTTTCTTTCCTTCCCCTCTCATTTCTTTCTCTTTTCTTTTTTCTTTCTCTTTTTTCTTTTTTCTTTATAGGCTTAGGCCCACTTTTTTTTAATGAGCTTAGACCCGTCTGTCACGGACAGGTGGACACAGTCCGACACTGTATGGGACCGTAACTTCGTGGATTATGGCCCCTGACTGTACACACTATAATAGAGGTCACAATTATTAGCCCATTTTGATGAAACTGAACATGTGTGTTTATAACCCAAAGATCTCAATTCCTTGCGATATTACGGCTCCTTAATGAACAAAAACAAAAACATCCCCCCCCCCCTAATTTTCGTTGCAGGGATCCCAAATGACTCAAACCATCGACTCAAACACACCAGTCTGGTCTAATTAATGCTTCCACTTTCAAACGAATTCTTGACAATTTTCGAGTCGCATGTTCAACTGACCTTTTTGTTCGATTTTAAGTCTCTTTTTCAACGATTTCCGATATGTTTACTTAGACGAAAATATCAGCCAAATAGCTCTTGGAATGGCTACAAATGCAAGGAAATGGCGGATAATTTTCTTGGGGGACCCCCCCCCCCCCAAACCCTCCCTATTAGCGGCGTGCCCCGTCTCCGCGGTCAGTGCCCGCCCCCCCGCCTTTTCAAAATTCCTAGATCCGCCCCTGGTTACACTATAATGTCGGTTGAGATTGAATTTCATGAATTGGTTTGATCCTGTGTCCTGTCACTTATGGGGGGGGGGGGGGATGGCCGAATGGTTAGCACGTGCGTGCTGTATCATAAAGCCTGTCATTGAGTCAACTGGCGTGGTTTCGAATCCCCGGTTGTACGTGACAAGGAGTAGGGTCGCCTGTCCAACCTCGTGGGTTTTCTTCGGGTCCTCCGGTTTCGTCCCACTGCTAAAGACCCCTACGCGCAAGCGAATTATTGAAATAAAATTAAAAACCATGTTAGTCCCGAAATGACCTAGTTTGTGTCGAGTGGACGTTAAACCCCATTTCTCCCCTCCCTCTCTCTCTCTCTCTCTCTCTCTCTCACTTATATCAGAGTATATATTGAATTTTAAATCAAAATTTGGACTCCTCGTACCCTCCATATTAACCACAGTACTAAGAATATTATCAATATCTAAATCAATCTCGTGAGCAGCCTTTCCATCACAACTTTCCCCCATATCAAGAACATCAAAATTTTTACGGCTATTATCTTCCATATCGAGTACATTATCAGTATCCAAATGCTTATCACATATATTCTCATTATTAATAATATTTGTTTTCGACTGTGTTATAAACATGTCGTCTCCGTGTCGAATATTTTGGTCTGTCTGTGTATGCTTGCATTGTATGACTGGAGTGTTTTGTCACATGCATTCATGAGCATATTTTAAGAATATATCCATTATTTTATGGCTTGTTGTTTTAGAAAACTACCCATTATTTGTATCTAACGCCCCTTAGTTGTTCTTTCCATTTACATAATGGACAGTCTTTGGCCATTATCCATCACTGCTTTTAATTTCGAATTGTATGGAAATATTGGGTAAGAGGTTTAGCTCCTTTAACGTTTAACAATAGTAATAGGTACTTTTATATTATACCTTTACACTGGTAATGTTAGGGGAGAGAAATGGCTATTCTATTCATCTTCGATTTCCATAAGCCAAGGAATATTTTTACGTGCGCTACCAATTTGTGGACGTCTAATTTCCTACCCAGGCATTGAATTTCTCGTCTGCCTTAGATGAAAACTTTTTAAAGAGGTCACTTTCAGGTTGTCCATTTTATTTTTTTGCTTTAATTTAAATCCACATAAGTGGATTTCAAATATTCACCTTTCCATCTCTTGAAAGGGCGTATCTTGCTTTCATGTGGCGATATAATGTCGTCGTAATCTAAAAGTGGGATTGAAGAAAGAAAATACAAACAATATCGTTTATTAAATAGTGGTACATTGAACATCATTTTATTACATCAACATATATTTTTATTCATTTAAACCATAACCTTATACCCGCAATGACTATAGAGATAGTACTGCATATTTTGGTACTAAAAATTACACGTAATTTATTTTCCTTAAAAGGTATTTGATAAATTTAAAAATCAAAGACATATAATTATCTCCCTTTAATGTCTATCTCTTCTACAAGCACACTGATCCGCAGTGAATATTCGCTAGGCTGCGACAATCACTGATACGGTTGACATCGATGGGACTTAATGGGCCAAAAATTAAATTCTAAAACATTATTTTTATGTTTTAGAAACATAAATAAAGACGTTTGAAGTATTTGTAGGTAAAAATTATTTCGTATTTTAGTGTAAATAGGTATTAAAATGAGTAAAAGGCGCCATTCTGCTCGAATCAGTAACGTCTTATTTAAACAATGCACGCGGCATTGAGCCAGTGATCGACGCCGTGTGATATGACGTTATGTGTTGAAGACAGTCATCTTTTACAGAGATATTAGAAGAGTTTCGTAATACTCTGCGAAACAGATTGGTCTACAACAAGTCGAGTGGCTCAGCAAATTGATATGGACGTTCCGGACAAAATCGCTAACCATTGCCCCAGCTTTTCATATTTAATAGGGACCACTTCCTCGAAATGGATCTTCAAAATTACACTATTACGTAAATTATTAGCGGCACATTTCAACTCGATCAAGAAAAATATGTCTTAATCGAACTAATGAAGCACTG